CGCCACCGTGTCGAATATCCGAAACAGCGCCCGCTCCGCCGTCGTCACCGGCACATCCGACCCATCGCCGTCATCCATCATCAACTCTTCCCCGCTCGCCACGAGCACGACTCGCTCGTCCGCCCCTCGCGTCGTCGGCGCCACCTTGACCCTCGCCCCCGTCTCCGCCCGCAGCGCCTTGATCACCCGTCCCTCCTTCCCGATCACTCTCCGCGCCCGCGACCGTTCCACGCGCATCGTCCCACGCCTCGCCCGGCGCGTCGCCTCGCGCACGCGTCGGCGCACCGCGCGCGCGGTGGACGCCCACGACCGCGCGCGCGCGCGCGCGGCGGCGTCGTCGGTCGTCGCGCGCGCCATGCGCGCGTGGATGTCGCGACGATGGCGGTCGTGCGCGCATGGGAACACACGTGCGCGGCCGCGGGCGTCGACGGCACACCCCGTCGACGCGCGCGCGAGGCCACGCCCGCGGTCGTCCATGGACGCGTCGCGCGCGCGTCGACCCCGGCGCGGCGCGCGCGTGGGCGAACGAGGGAACGATCGACGACGAATGATGATTCGCATCGGATGCGTCGCGCTGGCGACGCTGGCGACGACGGCGCGCGCGGTGACGCACGCGCGCGTGGGCGCGGTGACGTCGGTGAGCGTGACGTGCGCGGACGGGTCGAGGGCGACGACGTTCGAGTTTGAGCAGACGGAGGGGCCGACGACGGCGACGTGCGCGTTCGTCCCGAGCGCCGCGGCGCGCGCGGCGGAGCGGACGGATGCGAACGCGACGGAGAAGTGGGCGGCGTACGAGGAGCGGCGGGATAACGCGGAGATATTTGTGGCGAATTTAAGAGGGATCGATGATGAAAAGGTGGAGGAGGCGTTGGGGTTGAACGCGAGCGCGTACGCGGCGTACGAGGAGGCGACGGCGCTGAACGCGAGCGCGTACGCGGCGTTGGAGACGGCGTTGGAGACGGCGGAGAGCGCGACGGCGGTGCTAGTGTCGCAAACGAGTGGGTCGGTGCGGACGTATTCGTGCGCTGTGCCGCCGGGTGATGGGGGATTGTTTGCCGTCGTCGCGCGCTCGAGCGAGTCGGCGGGCTTCGTGGACGTCACGAAGCCGGATAGCACGAAGACGATTCGGCGGACAAAGCTAGAGGAGTATTGGCCGAAATCAGGGCCGGCGACCGGTGGAACGATCGTTCACTTTCGCGGACGAGGATTCGGCGATGTTGCGAGTGGGGGCATGAATTGCTCCATACCAAACGGTAACTCTGAGCTGGTAACGGCGGCGCAGTTACGTTCGGACGGCACGGTGACGTGCGAGACGTCGTCGCAGTCAGGCGTTGTGGACATTAAGCTCGTATACCCGGATTCGTGCTTCGAGACGGCACAGTTTCTGTACTATCAGAATCCCGAGCCACTATTGGTGCTGCCGCGAAACGTGCCTCGTTTCGGCAGCAGCAACTTCAGCGTCTACGCGTCGAACATATTTTTCGCTCAGGAGTACGGTCCGGGTGGAAACGACGCGACACACGCGGGTAAAGTTAATGTGACGTGCGCGATTGGCATGGGAACGTCGTCGAACGAAACCGCGAGCGCCGTCGCGGTGTTTCCGGGAGAGGCGGAGGCTGATACTCAAAAGATTACGTGTATGATTCCAGACATGACGGTACCGAACGGCACGCACGACGTGCGTGTATCGTTCAACGGCCAGCAATATATGCTCCCAGCCCTGCTCGCGACGAAACCGAGCTCGGTGTCCATCACGACGCAAGGGCCGACTTTGCGAACGAAGCATTATTTCTCAGAGACTCAAAACGGAAACGAACAGGCGCGCCTCATCAAGGTCCCGGTGGAACTCGTGGGTGAAAACAAACGCTTGGTGAGCGTTGATGTGAACGTAACGTACGGTGGGATTTCCGCCAGACCTGGATCGAGCGGCGATTCTCTGCTGATCCAAATTCAACACGACGACGCGAGAGACGACGAGACGAGCGTGAGCGGTGATTACGATTTCATGATTTACCCTCGGACTTTGCACTGGGTACCGGGAGATAATGCCGAGACACACGTGTACGTCAAGATTATCAACGATAACGTTCACGAGAGCGCGCTTGAGGCGCTCACAATCACTCTCGTGAACGCCGTGAACGCCGACATCGAAACGGATGTCAAGAGCAGGTCCGCAGTCGTGAACATTGCAGACGACGACGACGCGCCGTTGTTTGCGGTGCGACCGCGAAACGTAGTGCGTCCACCCAAATACCGCGACAGTCAGATCGTTGCGAAGATCCCCGTGCACCAGGTAGGTGGTGGTCGCTTCGCACTGCCTGCCGTTGTGGATTACGCCATCGTGACCAGCGGTGGTCCGTTCGCCGCAGTCGCTGGATCGCATTACGTCGACGCCACGGGTCGGCTGACGTGGAATCCGGAGGATTATAACAAAACAAAGTACGCTGAGGTCGAACTTAAGTGGGCCAATATCCCACCCGAGGCGAGTTTGAGACTTCACGTCAACCTCACGGCTGTGAGCGACGCGCGAGTGGAGCACATTCCGAGTGGTTTCAACGAAAGCGAAGAAGCTGCGCTATTCATCTTTGGTGTGCACGAGGGATCTTGCCCGCCGGGAACACGACGGAACGACGCAAGCACGTACAAGGCACCGCCCCCCTTGGCACCGCGACCGAATCCACCTCCACCTTCTCCGCCGCCTCCCGCGGCTAGCATTGACTCCGCCATTCTGGGATTGTCTATCGTTGCGAACACAACGGCATCGGTTTCGAGTGTGTTCCCGTCGATTCCACCGGGGATCAAGCTTGAACCGCCGTTCGCCCCGACGGTGTACGCGTACACTGCGACGGTACCAGCGCAGGTGGCCGGCGTTCAGGTGTTCTACCAGCTTCGACAATCGACGGGTTCGGTATCCGCCCGTCGCTTACTCGCTCCGAGTTTGGTGTCGATGAGGTATTTTGCCTTATCCACTGGATCAAACTTGATTCGTTTGGTGTCGAACTCACCGAATGGTCAAGCAACCGACACGTACAGATTCACTATCACACGAGAAACTCTGAAAACTCCACCTCCATCGCCGCCACCGTCGCCGCCGTCGCCGCCACCACCACCAAGCCCACCTCCGTGGAGTAAACCGCCGCCGCCACCACCTGAAGGACATCTTACGGCGCCGCCAGCGCCACCTGCACCGCCTGCGCCGATACCGCGTCCCGACGAGCCGAAGGACTACAGCGCGTGTGAGTACTGCCTTGCTGGGACTTTCGCGGACGTCGAAAATTCCATGACTTGCGCTCCGTGCGCTCCTGGTACCGCGACTGCAACGGCAATATCTAAATCGTGCGATTTATGTCCTATTGGCACGTACAGTCCGAACAATGGGGCAACGCATTGTCGAGATTGTCCTGAAGATACATATGCGGACACGACTGGATCCCTTCTGTGCGCACAGTGTCCGGCTGATCGAACCACTGCAGCGGGCAAGGCGTCGAATTGCACCGTGCCGATCGTCCAAGTGATGCGGAACCATCCAGATGTATACTACGTCGACGTATACTTCGGTATCTCGTTTTATCAAGCGGGAGGATCGCTGAGTAATTTCGCACAAAACGTCGGCATCAACGCCGAAGCCGAGGACGCGTTTGTACGCGCAGTGTCCATCGATATTGCCAACAAGTTCAACGTCACGCGCGGTGCGATCACGGTCAGTGCAAGTTCTCCAGGGTCGAGCGCGACTCTAAGCGGGAGACGACTGCTGCAGAACCAAGTGTCCATTCCGTGTTCTACGGCTGAGAATTGTGTACGCGCCATTGCTGCCAAAGTGACGATGCAAGCGACAGACGTACTAAGACTTGGCGTTTCAAGAGATTACGCGACCACGACTTCTTTGATCGAAGCGAGCCAAGCAAAAGCGAAGGGCATCGTGGAGTCGATGATAGCTAACCCCGTGTCGTTCTTCGCCCTGACATTGAGTGGGTTTGGAAACGGTGTGACCATGAATGTGTACGCAAACGCTCAGACATCTGTTTACGTCGAGAAGAAACCCACGCTGCCTCGGACAACGAAGAACGTGTTTGGTAGCACCAACGTGGCACTCATTATGGTCGTTTCGTTGATTGGGATCATGCTGTGCGTTGTCGGTCGTATCTGGTACTCCCGCGTTGCGGCGAAACGCACACTCTATCGTATCGAGCAAGAGTTACTCGCAGCCGAACAGAGCCAAGCTGTCGGTAAAATCGTGTCATCCACCAAAATGAACCGAACGTCAGGCGTGCAGAAGATGGCACAGAAGTCCCGTTCGCTTAAGAAAGCTGAGCCGAAGCAGCGTAAAGATGGCACCGCGGTGCCGAAGAGGACTATTCAGATGCGCGAACAGAGTCAAATCACGCTCGCAAACATGGCGAGATTTAAGGAGAAGCGTCAGGAGTCATCCATTGAGTCAATGTGGGCAGCTCGAGGGGAAAGGCGCACCTTTCTTTAATTTAAAAAATCTTTTGTTGTAATACCAGTACGATCGACTAGTCGGTTTTACCGGCTTTCGCCTGCTTGCGCTTCTCATTCAATTTTGCCTTTGAGTCCATGTACGCGCGCGCCGTGTTCAACATTTTGAACGCCTCAGTCGCGGCTGCGGAATTTTCGTGCTTATCCGGGTGAATATATAGGGATAGTCGCTTGAAAGCATCGCGAGCGGCCACATCACCTTTACCGTCGCTGGATAAGTCACCCTCCTTTGCCGGTTTCACCGCGCACAGCTCAGGATCTTTGGCGCCTAGACGAGCGCACACTTTCGCCGGAGGCACGCCAAAGGACATTTGTCGCCGCAAATCTTTGCGTGCTGCTAATAGCGAGTCACAAATCTTTCCAACGCGACTATTCCCTTGATTTTTCGTGCACGCTGCCGTCAACTGCGCGTCGATATCGGACTCTGACTTGCTCTCGCGAAAGTCTTGCAGAAACCCAACGCAAACTCCGCAGCTCCCGCTCGTTTCCTCTGATAGACCGCGTCCGTCCGAACCAAACAAGATGCATCTGTGCACGCCACCTTTCTTGACACCGTCCGCGCTCGTGCCGTACACGCCGCACTTCAAGACACGCTCGACGTGCTGACGAGCCTCTGCCTGCCACGCTTTTGCTCGAGCATCAGCCTCGAGCTTTCGCTTGAGCTCCGCCTTTTCCGCCGCCGCCCTTTGCTTTGCCTTTAGCATCTTCGCCTTTTCGCGAGCGCTCCGAACTCTCCTCCAATCTTCGAGCTCTCTCTTTGCCTCGGCGTACCAAAAGTGCCCGATTAGAAGCGCGAAGAGCACGATAACGACGGCTACGATGACTCCCCAAACGACGCCCATGCGCTTCTCGCTGGAACGCCGCATCTGTTTCACGAATCGTTCTTCGTTATGATTAATGGCGCACGTGGAGAGATAGCCGGTTCGCGAGACTTGTTTGGCACCATCGAGCAAGCGCACGACGTCGTCGTGACCGTACTTCGCCGCCAGATCTGCCGCTGTTGCGCCCGGCAGCAGACTTCCTCGATTTCGAGTCCTCGCGCGTAACTGCGCACCGGCGCTCACCAACCGAACGATCACCTCCGAACGCCCGTCCATCGCGGCGACGTGAAGAGGGGTGTATCCATCGTCGTTCATGACGTCCACATCCGCGCCAGACGCGCACAGCGCCGCCGCCGATCTCCCGTCTCTCGCCCGATGCAGCGCGCTGCGTCCGACGCCGTCGCGCGCGTCACAATCGACCCCGCACCCGAGCAGCGCCTCCGATGCCCACCCATCGCCGCGATCGCACGCCAAGTGTAGCGCATTTGAGCCATCGCCTCGACGCTGCGTCCCATCGGCGCCCTCTCGCAATAAAATCTCGATGACCCTTCGTTCCCGCGCCTCGTGCAGTGGCGTCGATCCAGCGACGTCTCGCGCGTTCACATCAACCCTTCGCCCCTCCGACGCGCCAAAGAATCGCCCGTACACCTTATACGCATCTATAATCTTCCTCGCCGCGTCGGCGTGTCCGTTCTTCGCCGCCTCGTGCAGCGGCGTCCGCCCGCTCCGACATCGCGCCTCCGGCTCGGCGCCGACGCTCAGCAACGCCTCCACCCCCCCCGCGCTCCCACTCGCCGCCGCGTGGTGCAGCGCGCGGCGTCCATCCTCTCCCACCACCGCGTTCACGCTCTCCGGTCGCTCTCTCGCCGCTCGCATCGTCTCGTTCACGTCGCCCGCCGCCGCGCTCCGCGCGAGCGCCCGCGCGCTCGAATCCCCCCACCCACGCCCCTCCGTCCCCGCCCGTCGCCGAACGGCGCCACCGCCGAGCGCGGCATCACCCAACGGACTCGCCGTCGCGCGCGCGGGCGCCGCCGCGGGCGCGAGCGACGGCGCGAGCGGATTCAAAAATCCAACCGGCGTCGAGCGCACGGGCATCTTTCGCCCGTCCCACGCGCGCGCCGCGTCCCCGCGCCCGTCGCGCGTCGCGTCACCGACCGACGCGCGTCGTTCGACGTCGCGCGCGCGATCGCGCGCGATGCGCGCGCGGTGGCGGCGACGCGACGACCTTGCCGCGCGCGCGCGAAACGAATGTACACACTTC